TATTTTTATTTATTTAAAAAAAATGCAATTATTTTTAATCAGATATTTTTATTTTATTTAGTTTTTAATCAGATATTTTATTTTTATTTATTAATTTTTTTGTTTTTAATCAGATATTTGTTTTATTTATTTAGTTTTTAATCAGATATTTTTATTTTATTCAGTTCTTAATCAGATATTTTTATTTTAGTTTCATTTAATTTTTATTTTATTTAGTTTTTATTCAGATATTTTAAATTTTTTATGATTTTTGAAGTGTTATATATATATAGTTGAGGTTGCCCTCCTGTTAAATTTAGATTCTTAAAATATTTAATCAAAGTTTTGAGTGTGTGTTCTGCGCTGTGTGTTGATGTTTGTTGTCTGAACTCTTTGTGTTGTAGATCGACATCAATATTAAAGATGCGATCGGCCGCTATCACCAGTGCGCCACCATTCAGCTGGACTTCCAGCTGCCTATACGATTCAATCTGACATATGTGGGGTGAGTTCAGTTTGGTTTAGACTCAGTGTGAATGCTCGCTCCACTTTAGGCTGACGGATGTGGAAGAACTTCTGTTAATATCGGATCAATTCAGTTCAGTAGAAAAAAGCGTAGAGACAGTGTGAATGCTCACTTCAATCAGATGTGTGTTGTGTGAATTCAGTTCAGTTTAGAAAGGATATGGAGACTGTGAATGCTTGCCTCTCCTCAATCTGACATATGTGTAGTGAATTCAGTTCATTTTAGAAAAGATATAGTCAGTGTAAATGCTCACTCCACAGCAATCTGATGTGTGTGAAGTGAATTCAGTTCAGATCAGGTATTGGGTGGGAAGGTTCGCTCTGCTTTAGTCTGACATGTGGAGTGAATTAACTTCTGTTTATAAGGGATATAGACAGTGTAAACACTTGCTCTGCTTTAATCTGATGTATGTGGAGTCAATTCAGTTCAGATCAGGATTGAGTGTGAACAATCACTCTGCTATAATCTTAATGTATGTGAATTCAATTCTGTTTAGAAAGGATATAGAAAGTATGAACACATCAGTCTGTCGTATGTGGAGTGAATTCAGTTCAGTTTCTAAAGAGTATCGACAGTTTGAATGCTCGCTTCACTTTAACCTGATGTACTGTATGCGGGTGAGTTTATTCAGTTTATAAAGGATATAGACAGTGTGAACGCTTGCTCCAACTGTAATCTGACATCTATGGAGTGAATTCAGCTCAGATCAGGATTTAGTGTGAATGCTTGCTTTGCTTCAGTTCGATGCATATGGAGTCAATTTAGTTCAGTTTAGACAGAATACAGACAGTGTGAATGCTCACTCTGCTTCAGTCTGACATACATGGAGAGAATTTAGTTGTTTAGACAATACAGACGGTGTGAATGCTCTTTCTGCTTCACTCTGACTTATGTGGAGTGGATTCAGTTCAGCTCAGGATTCAGTGTGAATGCTTACTCTTCTTCAATCTGATGTATATGGAGTGAATTCAGATCAGGATTCAGTGTAAACACTCACTCCACTTCTGAATGTTCCTCTTACCGTCTTCATCACTGCAGGAAGGACGGGGATGACCGGGACCGACCTGTGATCATCCACCGCGCCATCCTGGGCTCCGTGGAGAGAATGATCGCTATCCTCACTGAGAACTACGCAGGCAAGTGGTGAGTTATCCTGAACTACAATTACACACACCTGAAAAAAACATCCCAGTTTCACAGTATGATAACTGTGTGTGTGTGTAATTGTACGTGTGCGTGTGTGTGTGTGTGTGCGTGTGCGTGTTTGCTCAGGCCACTGTGGCTCTCTCCACGTCAGGTGATGTTAGTTCCAGTTAACCCGTCTCTTGAAGAATACGCCAAACAGGTACATCATCAACATAATCATTCATTCATTAGTGTAGAGAAATAAGCAAATTAAATTAAATTAATTATTTAAAATTTTCAAATTGATAGAGTATGAACAAAATAAGACATTTAGAAAAATGTTGAAACCCTGTAACCATTGACTTCCATAGTATTTGTTTTTCCCACTATGAAAGTCAATGGTGACCGGTTTTCAGCATTCCTCAAAATATCTTATTTTGGTTTAACTTCAGAAAAGACACTCATACAGGTTTGAAGCCACCTAAGTGAGGGTAAATAGTGTGTAAATTATCATTTTTGGGTTAACTGACCCTTTAACATACTTAATTCAGGATCCATTAACCTGAGAATGAAATGACTGAAAAACTATGGAAGTCAATGGTTACCGGTTTTCAGCATTCCTCAAAATGTCTTACTTTGTGTTTAACTTCAGAAAAGACACTCGTACAGGGTTTAAACCACTTGATGGAGAGTAAATAGTGATTGAATTCTCATTTTTGGGTGGACTGGCCCTTTAAAATACCTAACAGAATTGAAGATCCTTAACTTGAGATGTGAAATGACTGAAGATTGCTAATTTGTGCGGTTCAGATGCTGAAGATCTTCTCCGTGCTTCTGCTTTTAGGTCTGCAAGCGGTTTGTCGAAGCTGGTTTTATGGCTGATGCTGATTTGGATTCTAGTTGCCTTCTGAACAAGAAGATTCGTAATGCACAGCTGGCGCAATATAACTTCATCCTGGGTAAGAGCTGCAGTGTTTCCCTCCAGTATGAACATGCAGTTTCATGCCAATTTGCTGCCCTAGGCTAGATTTTACCTGGCGCCCCATGCCTTGCTGCTTATTCCAACAATAGTCCAAAATCATATTTACAACATAATGAATATAAAATAAAATAAAAATGAAATAAAATAAAAATATCTGATTAAAAGCTAAATAAAATAAAATAAAATAATAAAAATTAAATAAAAAATAAAAATATCTGATTAAAAATTAAATAAAATTAAAAATTAAAAAAATATATATCTTTTTTAAAGCTAAACAAAATAAAAATATCTGATTAAAAACTAAATAAAATAAAATAAAAAAAGAAACAGAAATAAAAATAAAGTAAAAATATTTGATTAAAAACTGAATAAAATCTAAATAAAATCAAATCAACATAAAACAAAAATATCTAATTAAAAAATGAATAAAATAAAATAAAAAACATCTGATTGAAAATAAATAAAATAAAAATATCTAATTAAAAATTAAAATAAAATAAAAATAGAATAAAAATAAAATAAAATAAAATAGAAATATCTGATTAAAAACTAAATAAAATTAAATAATTAAAATTAAATTAAAAAATAAAAATATTTGATAAAAACTAAATAAAATAAAAATAAAAATAAATATCTGATTAAAAGCTGAATAAAATAAAAATTAAGTAAAAGTTAAATCAAAATATCTGATTAAAAATTATTAAATAAAAAATTTTAAAAAATCTGATTAAAAAATTAATTAAATAAAAAAATAAAATAAAAATATCTGATTAAAAACTAAATCAATTTTAAAATGTTATTTTTTATGAGCAGACGAGGATTCACTGGGCGTCAAGGTGACGCAGTGGATAGCACAAACGCCTCACAGCAAGAAGGTCACTGGTTCGAGTCTCGGCTCTTGGCATTTTTTTGGAGTCTTGGCGTTTCTGTGTGGAGTTTGTTTGTTCTACCCGTGTTGGCGTGAGTTTCCTCCAGGTGCTCCGGTTTCCCCCATGAAACTAAATTATCTGTAGTGTATGTGTGTGAATGAGTGTGTATAGATGTTTCCCAGTGATGGGTTGCAGCTGGATGGGTATCCGCTGTATAAAACATATCCTGGAATAGTTCTAGATTAATAAAGGGACTAAGCCGAAAAAAAAAATGGATAAATGAATATCATTGCTGAAGAAAACGGTATAGATGCTATAAATACATCAAGGTAACATTTGTTATCATATATTATTAGCATACAATAGGCCAGTGGTTCCCAGGGGGTCGCGGGAAACTGAGGGGGTGTCGCTTGATTTTATTTTAATAAACAATTAAAATGATCATGTTTTATTCATAACCTACAGAAGAAAAACACGTGGGTAATTGCTACATTAATAAAACAACATGCAAATGAAAGAATTTTTCAGCCTTTCTGGGTTTTCTTGCGCCCCCTGAAGAGATTACGTTATAATAAAGACACAGATTGATTTTATGGCATCATGTTCAAATTTATGACACCCTTACAGCACTCACATACATTCACAAAATAAATACAGGTCACGACTGAACATGGAGGATGATCTCCAAGCGGTGTTCTCCAAAATAAACAAAAAATAGACTTGGGCCTTTTGCGTGCGCTGTTGTGTGCAGAGTTTATATATTTACAACCACCTCAGAGGATATTGGGGGTCGCGAGTCACTGGCATAGTCATTTTTGGGGTTGCAGGCTGAAAAGTTTGCGAACTCCTCCAGGCTGCTTTTCCATTTCCATTTTTAAAAGTTTTTCCAGTAGATGGCAGCAAAGTGCTACTAATAAAGTTTTTTTTTAAGATTATTGCTCCAAATTAAGTCAAAACAAACACTTTTTAGATGTAATTTACCTAAAATGTTGCCATTTTTATAAGCACTTTTACATACAATCACTACTACACTAGCTAATTCAAATTAAAAACACGAGGCGGCGCAGTGGGTAGCACGTTCGCCTCACAGAAAGAAGGTCACTGGTTTGAGCCTCAGTCAGTTGGTGTTTCTGTGTGGAGTTTGCATGTTCTCCCCATATTGGCGTGGGTTTCCTCCGGGTGCTCCGGTTTCCCCCACAGTCCAAACACATGTGGTACAGGTGAATTAGGGATGCTGAAATTGTCTGTGTTTCCCAGTGATCTAATGTGCTTATAATGGTTCTCTGTGTGTGTGTGTGTGTGTGTGTGTGTGTGTGTCAGTGGTGGGAGAAAAGGAGCGTCTCAGCAACAGTGTGAATGTTCGCACCAGAGACAACAAAGTTCACGGAGAGCTGCCGGTTCTGGAGGTGATGGAGAGACTAATGCTGCTCAGACGCTCACAGTGCAGGAACGCAGAGGATGACTTCTGATGAAGATGATGAAGGAGGATGATGATGATGATGATGAAGGATGATGATGATGGTGGTGATGATTATGATGAAGATGGTGATGAATAATGGATGATGATGATGAAGATGATGGTGATGATGATGATGATGATGAAGATGAAGATGATGATGAAGGATGATGATGAAGATGATGATGATGATGAAGAATGATGATGATGATGATGATGATGATGATGATGAAGGATAATGATGATGATGATGATGAAGGATAATGATGATGATGAAGGATGATGAAGATGAAGGATGATGATGATGAAGATGAAGGATGCAGATGTTTATCCCTTGTGTGTCATTGGGTTGTTTTCATCCACTCTAGGCTGATTTTGAGTCTTCATTTGCCCACAGCTTTCTCTGTGTGTCAGCAAATGTGATGACTTCTGGTGACATTTTATTTTGACACATTTTATTTTGGGGTAAATACTTTGAAATTTTAGAAAAAACTCAATACAATTCACTCAAATTGACTTTCTTTTCGTCATGTTAACATTAAACATGTTGCCTCCTCCCAAACGGGGAAACCCGGCAACAATCAAGAATGCATGATCATCTGCTGTCATGACTTCAACAAATCAATAAATGAGATTATAATGGAAGTCAATGGTGCAAAAACAGCACCAACATAATGAAAGGGGAGTCCATTTGAACCATACATGAGAATTAATGTAGGTTGATGATGATAATGATGATGATGATGAAAGGAGAACTAAAGCCATGTTGAATGAAGGGTCATTTCCAGAAGGTTGAGTTTGCTGGCTCTTATGTGTTATGGATATTGTAGATCCAGGAGGTTGTTATCTCAGAATAAAGCCTGACAGGTTAATCAGCAGCCCAATGTGAAGTGCAGCACTGCTGTAGAAAACTTTTAAGGGTTTATTCCTAGAAAACAACCATCCTGGATGTACTTAATCACGGTTATTCTACTGCTACTTGCCACAAAACAAACACAAAACACATTGTTGTATCAATGCAGATTGACTAAGTGAAAGATCCAACATTACAACAAGATGTGTGCATCATATCAGAGTTGACATGCATTTGCAAGGTTAGTGCTTTTACAGTCAACAGTACGCACAGACACCAAACATTGTGAGCCATAATAGTTGATTATTTTTTAAATTAAACACAAAGCAGACAGAATGAAAACAGCTGATGGAGCATACACTAACCTGCACGCTAGACAAGCAGATACATATGAATGTAGATTTAAGTATATGGATGCAAACATATTCACTGACGGACAAGATGATTCTCAGTTCCTGCATGAGTCTGTATTATTCAGAGGTTGTTATCTGGGAATTGCAGACCTCGGAATACCGTGACTGACCAATTAGAATACAGTATTCCAGACAGCCGTGTAATAAGACGTGTTCAAGTGTGTTTGAGTGCTGAAAGATTGAAATAAAGACTCTGAAAGAATAACTATTGTGTCTTTTGCATATTTGAAGACAAAGTTATGTTTGCCATCCTGTGAAATTAATAATTTTTCAAAAACTTCCCTTGGGATTTTATTTAGACATACTAGTTTTAATAACTATTTTCTACTATCTTTGCCATGATGATAGTACATAATATTTTACTGAAAATACTTACTCATTGCAAAATAAAGTGGAGCTTACTTATTAATCTGTATTTATGAATGTTTAAGAATTTGAGACATTTTACAGTATAAGAATTAGTCTTTATAAACTTTGTACTTTCAATTTAAACATAACATTTTGAGTTCGCATTTGCGCAGAGCTGTGCTGTCCGTGACTTATTTTCAGCCAGCAGCTGCCCCTGGGACTTTTACGTAGGAGGAAGCGAGCAGTAGACTCGGTCAAACGGCGGAAGCAGTGTTTCACGATGACGGCGAACGGACAGAAATGGGTTCTAGATCGCGGACGGAATAAAATGAGCTCGTATATAATGCTGGTTCTGCTGCTGCTCGACATTTACTCCTCATGTGTGGACGGTACGTGTGTTTTCGTGGCTCTGGAGAGCGTGTCTGCTGATCTGATCTCCTGCAGTGTGTGTTGTTGTTCTCGGTTTGAGTCCAGTGTAAACTGGTTAAATCGTGGTGTAATGTCAATAATAAAGCAAATAATAGTGAATATGTGTATGATAATGTTATATTTAAAAAACAGGTCGTGTCTTGATATTGTGTTTTTGTAAATGAATGTATTTACAGCACATGGAGGCCTTTCCCAAATTATTAATGAGTATTGTTTATATAATTTATGATAAATTACACAAAAATGTCAACCTTGCCATGACAAATATAACGTTTACAGCAAAATAGCTGAACCCTTTTTAAGTTTGTTTGTATAGGTTTGTATTGTACAGGACTGAAAATACTCAAACACGTCTGTTAATGTTTTCACACTATTATATTTGATTTATCAAAGTCACACAAATGCCAATTTCACATGTGTCACATCCATAGCAAAGCTTCATTCATTAATTTTCTTTTCGGCTTAGTCCCTTTATTAATCTGGGGTCGCCACAGCGGAATGAACCGCCAACTTATCCAGCTCATGTTTTACACAGAGAATACCCTTAAAGCTGCAACCCATATTTATTTATTTCATTTATATCTCTCTTTTATTGCATTTATTAATGCTTGTAGATTGATTATTATATGTATTATATTGTATGCAGATGCACTGCCAAATCATTCTTTCCGAATAGAGATATTTAGGTTATCTGGTCATATTGCATTATATAATCGCAAAATAATGAAATATTAGACATTTCCAATATCATGCAGCCCTAATCTGGATTATTAAGTGCAAGTGCATGATTTTGACTTTGTTTTCTGAATGAAATATGCTTTAATTTTCAGATGTTTGTCATGAGTAATGTTGCTCTCTCTGCAGGGTATCTGAGCTCTCCTCATGTGGGTCAGGATCCTCCATATTTAGCCCAGCAGAAGTCAGTGATGAGCAGCCCGGTGGCCATGACCGCATCCTCAGGTCACAATCAATACTGCACTTCACCACACACACACACAGTCTGAACTATTCGCCAGTTAAAGACAGTGAGAAGCTGTTGTGTTGTGTTCAGTGTGTTTATTCAAGACGGTGTGTTGTGTTTGTGTTCAGCTTCTCCAGTGGTCACTGATAACTACGTGTCCAAGTGTCCGAGTGGAGGCCTGTGCTCTAAACTACCCGCCGACTGCATCATCTGTGCACTTCACCACAACTGCAGCTACGGCCGGCCGCACAACTACACCTGCAGACCAAGAGCCGGAGTTCACTGCGTGGTGAGACGATGTGTACAGTCTTTATTTAGCTGCCCGACAACAGCGCACTACAGAGCTAGATTAGTCTCAATGATAGTTCATGCAGAAAACACAATGTACACATGCATAGCCAAATTCACATGCATGAAAACAAATTCACTATTTACACTCTTTATTAGGTACACTTTACTAGTGCTAGGTTGGACCCCTTTTGTCTTTAGAACTGCCTTAATCCTTCGAGTCAGAGTTTCATCAAGCTGCTGGAAATATTCCTCAGAGGTTTTGCTCCATATTGACATGATGGCATCACACAGTTGCTGCAGATTTGTCGGCTGCACATCCATGATGCCAATCTCCCGTTCCACCACATCCCAAAGCTGCTCTATTGGATTGAGCTCTGGTGACTGTGCAGGCCATTTGAGTACAGTGAACTCATCGTCATGTTCACCAGTCTGAGATGATTGAGCTTTATGACATGCTGCGTTATCCTGCTGGAAGTAGCCATCAGAAGATGGAGACACTGTGCTCATAAAGGGATGGACATGGTCAGCAGCAATACTCAGGTAGGCTGTGGCGTTGATGCTCAATTGGTACTAATGGACCCAAAGAAAATCTCCCCCACACCATTACACCACCACCACCAGCCTGAACCGCTGATACAAGGCAGGATGATCCATGCTTTCATGTTGTTGAGCCGAGCATCTGAATGTGTCAGCAGAAATGGAGACTCATCAGAGCAGCAACGTTTCTCCAATCTTCTATTGTCCAGTTTTGGTGAGTCTGTGTGAATTGTAGCCTCAGTTTCCTGTTCTTAGCTGACAGGAGCGGCACCCGGTGTGCTCTTCTGCTGCTGTAGCCCATCCGCCTCAAGGTTGGCCGTGTTGTGTGTTCAGAGATGCTCTTCTGCAGAGCTCGGTTGTAACGAGTGCTTATTTGAGTTACTGTTGCCTTTCTATCAGCTGGAACCAGTCTGGCCATTCTCCTCTGGCCTCTGGCCTCATCAACAAGGCATTTGCGCACACAGAACTGCCGCTCACTGGATATTTTCTCTTTGTCGGAGCATTCTCTGTAAAGCCTAGAGATGGTTGTGCGTGAAAATCCCAGTAGATCAGCAGTTTCTGAAATACTCAGAGCAGCCCGTCTGGCAGCAACAACCGTGCCACGATCAAAGTCTCTTAAATCCCCTTTCTTCCCTATTCTGATGCTCAGTTTGAACTGCAGCAGATCGTCTTGACCATGTCTGCATGCCTAAATGCACTGAGCTGCTGCCATGTGATTGGCTGATTAGACATTTGCTTTAACAAGCAGTTGGACAGGTGTACCTAATAAAGCGGCCAGTGAGTGTGTGTGTATATATATATATTGCACAGTTTAAGTCATTTAAGTACTCTATATTTATATATTTAGATTTGTATCATTAATTAAAATGACCAATTCTAATGTACAATGTGCTTACCAAAATAAAATCAGAGGCAAGTTTTATAAATATTGTGCCATAGGTTACAGTCCAGAATGATTAATAAGTGCTTTACAAGAGTATTCATACTTAGTTATTGCTAGTAAATACATTACCTAATGGACCATTATGCTAAAGTGTTGCCATATAAATAGGAGGTCAGTTTTCTTTGCACTAATGTCAGTGTCTGTGATGAGTGTTTTCATCCTGTAATAGAAGATGAGTATGCTGTAATATCAGTGTTTTCTGTGTTTTTCAGAGCGATCAGGGCGAGCGGCAGCAGAACTTCACTCTCTCTCTCCTGTGCCGCTTCTGTTTTCAGCTGGACGCGTCTCAGTATCGCTGCTCCAACTCCAGCGACTGCATGACAGTGTCGTGTCCGCGCAGACGCTACAACGCTAGCTGTGAAGTGCTGGAGCACGTGCACTGCCTCGGTACGTCTCTGCTCGCTCGGGCTGTGTCCACATGTACACCGGTGGTATTTTTACCAAAAACGCTGCCTTGCTTTTTAACAACATCTCTCCACATGAAAACACTAATGCGATGTGTGTTGAACCGGGAGCTGCGATTGATTTTTTCTTTGCATTGTGACGCAGTTCCTAGAGAAACAGAATATTAAATGAGACAACAGTGGGCGTGGCTTGTTTTTTGACTGTGAGCTGATTGGATGTAGTAAAGTAGGCGCTTCATTCATAAAGGCCTGTAAAGGGTTTAGGGAGAGTTATTACAACCTAACAGACTCTTCCTGACCACCCTTTCTGTTTGATGACAAAACTGGCAGCTGGAGGGGCGTGGCTAACTATGTTGGCTATTGGCTGTTTTTTAAAGGAGGAGCTACTCTATGCCCCGGCCTCTCAGTATTATGTCAAGCATCAAATGAGAACTGCACATTATAGTCAAGTACATTAGTGACCTACAATACACACGTTTCTTCAGCTGCCTTCGGACTGAACACTGAACTGAGTCACATCTAGAGGACTGAAGTGCTCATGTGTGTTAATAATGTTTCGTGTGTGTGTGTGTGTGTGTGTGTGTGTGTGTGTCTGTGTGTGTGTGTGTGTGTGTGTTCTGTCAGGTAAGAGAGTGTTTCAGAAGCGTCTCTTCTGCAACTGGACTGGAGGATATAAGTGGTCAACAGCTCTGGCTCTCAGGTGATTCACTGCTCACTCATTTGATTCCTTTGATTCTTTTGTCACCTGATGCTTTATATGCTCAAGCTTTATGAAGCAGGATGGATTCTGATTGGTTGCTTTTTGTTTATAAGCTTAAAAAAGCCTTTATGATTGCGTTTGCATATTTTTGTGTGAACTCATTATGTTTATTACACTTTACAATCAGGGCTTGTTTTTTTAACCCAAAATTTGTGAAGTTTACTTGCATAATTTATTTTTAGGCTACACAAAGCGCTCGAGGCTACAGTGGTTTGTCAATGAGTGAAAGAATACATTTATCAGATAAATTTAGCCCAAATGTCTGAGATATGAACAGAAGGATAAATATATTGGACTTAGGTTTGACCAGACGAATGAATTTTATTTGTATTCAATTTGTTTTGGATTTATTTAATGATTTTTAACATTTCAGACACACCAACTCCAAAATGACTGAGCATTACATCCGTCTGACTTGTTATAATCTCCTAAAAATGACATTTACTGTATTCTGAGTGTATTTTTTGGCCCCTTTATAAAAACAACATTGATTATAAACATTCACACTCCTTTTAGTCTTAACAGACCAGAATGCGTTATAAATAGTAGGGCTGACGTGTTATTGACGTGTTCTTGGTGTGTGTGACGTATGTATGTATGTATGTATGTATGTATGTATGTATGCATGTTTGTATGCATGTATGCATGTATTTATGCATGTATGCATGTATGTATGCATGTATGTATGCATGTATGTATGCATGTATGTATGCATGTAAGCTTGTATGTATGTATGATGTATGGATGCATGCATGTATGTATGTATGTATGTATGTATGTATGTATGCATGTATGCATGTATGTGTGTGTATGTATTATTAATATATTGCACTACATTTTGACCAGATTAATAGATTTTATTCATACATATTTTTATAATCCTATGTTTTGCTCTCTTTCTAAAAGCTGCATTATTGTAGACTTGCGTGCACACTCCTCCTGAGTGTGTCTGAGCAGACCAGACTGCATTATGAGTGTGAGGGCTGACATGTTCTTGGCGTGTTCTTATCATGTTCTTGGCATGTGTGTGCAGCATCACTCTGGGTGGTTTTGGCGCGGACCGCTTCTACCTGGGTCAGTGGAGGGAGGGTCTGGGTAAACTCTTCAGTTTCGGGGGTCTGGGCATCTGGACGCTGATCGACGTGCTGCTGATCGGCGTGGGGTATGTGGGTCCAGCCGACGGCTCGCTCCACATCTGAATGTTGGCGTTACCGTGACGACTACATCCCAGATCTGAATGCTGATGTTATCGTGACGACTGCATTCCAGATTTCGTAGTGCTGACATTACCGTGGACGACTGCATCTCTGATTTCTCAGTGCTGGCGTTACTGTGACGACCGCATCCCAAAATTCTAAGTGCTGACTTTACCGTGACAACTGCATCTCAGATTTCTTAGTGCTGGCATAACGTGACGACCACATCCCAGAATTCTGACCGCTGGCGTTCCCGTGACGACCGCATTCCAAAATTCTGAGCGCTGGCGTTACCGTGATGACCGCAACCCAGATTTGTGAGCGCTGGCGTTACCGTGACGACCGCATCCCAGATTCCCACACTCCCACTCGGGCAGAGCTCCATCTGCTGTGAATGAGGATGCTGGAGGCACGTGCGCAGGCTGATCTCACTGATTAATGATCCCTGTATATATCTGTGTGTATATATATGAATATGTGTGTGTGTAAATATGATAATGATTCGCTCTGCTGATGTTTTAATTCACTGTTGAGTTCTGAATAAACCGCTGTCATGTTGAAGACGATCATGATGTTCCTCACATTCATTTTAGAGAGTGTGTGTGTGTGTGTGTGTGTGTGTGTGTGTGTGTGTGTGTGTGTGTGTGTGTGTGTGTGTGTGTGTGTGTGTGTGTGTGTGTGTGTGAGAGAGAGAGAGAGAGAGAGAGAGAGAGATTGAGTATGTGTTTGTATTTGAGTGTACACTCACAGGCCACTTTATTAGGTACACGTTACTAGTACCCCTGGACCCCTTTTGCCTTCAGAACAGCTTTAATCCTTCATGGCAGATTCAGCAAGCTACTGAAAAGATTTTGCTCCATATTGACATGATAGCATCCGCAGTTGCTTCAGATCTCCCGCTCCACCACATCCCAAAGCTGCTCTATTGGATTGAGCTCTGGTGACTGTGGAGGCCATTTGAGTACAGTGAACTCATCGTCATGTTCAAGAAACCAGTCTGAGATGATTGAGCTTTATGACATGCTGCGTTATCCTGCTGGAAGTAGCCATCAGAAGATGGAGACACTGTGCTCATAAAGGGATGGACATGGTCAGCAGCAATACTCAGGTAGGCTGTGGCGTTGATGCTCAATTGGCTGATTAGACATTTGCGTTAACCAGCAGCTGGACAGTGTACCTAATAAAGTGGCCAGTAAGTTAATATGTGGATGTGTTTGTGCTGTGTGTGACAGTGTGTCTTTAATTGTGTGTATGCATGTATATGTGTGACAGACCGTGTGCATGTTGTATGAGTGTGTGTGTGATGAGTGTTTCTCTGAATGATCCTCCATAATGGTGAAGAACAGAGTGTGTCGTGCTGCCATTGAATCTCTTGTTCTTGAACAAACAGCTTTATTCCTCTCTGCGGATTCCAGGAACACACACCCGCTCTGCCATTGTGATGAATGTAAGTGCGCCTCTCTTCATTTTCACACACACACATGTACACACAGTGTTTTGGGTTCAGCCTGACCGGTTTGAGCTCCTGAATCCACTCACACACACACACTGTATACTTCTTTATAAGTGGCAGTATAGTAATTTTAGTTTGTATGATATAAATATACACACAAGATGAAACATTCTGACACAGTTACAGCCTTTAAAACCTCCTCTGTGTTCAACAAAACAAGTGATTCTAGTCGTATTGCTCTGAGATGAGCGTAAGTGATGACAGAATGATCATGCGTGTGCTTACATTCATTCATTCTCCTTCGGTTTAATCCCTTTATTCATCTTGGGTCACCACAGTGGAATGAACCGCCAACTATTCCAGCAAATGTTTCACACAGCGGATGCTCTTCCAGCTGCAACCCAGTTCTGGGAAACACCCATACACACTCATTCACACACACACACACTCATACACTATGGCCAGTGTAGTTGATCAGTTCCCCTATAGCGCATGTGTTTGGACTGTGGGGGAAACCGGAGCACCCGGAAGAAACCCACACCAACACGGGGAGAACATGCAAACTCCACACAGAAACACCAACTGACCCAGCCGAGACTCGAACCAGTGACCTTTCTTTGAGGCCACAGTGCTGACCAATGAGACACTGTGCCACCCCAAATGGTTCTTTATTATTGTGTATTTATTAACACATTATACATATGCACACAACAGGACATGTTATGTAACTGCAGCAGTGTGTGTGTGTGTGTGTGTGTGTGTGTGTGTGTGTGTGTGTGTGTGTGTGTGTGTGTGTGTGTGTGTGTGTGTGTGTGTGTGTGTGTGTGTGTGTGTGTGTGTGTGTGTGTGTGTGTGTGTGTGTATAAGAATGAGGGCTTTGGATGGTATTCAGGACAAGTTCTATCAAGAACACTGTATTATTATGGCCTATCATGTTCTGCATGCTTTGACAAGTGTAGACTACTGTAGATCAGGGGTGCTCAATCCTGTTCCTGGAGATCTACCTTCCTGTGCAGTTTGGCTCCTACCCTGATCAAACCCACCTGAACCCATTAATTAGGACCTGAAATCTACTTGATTACAGGCAGGTGTGTTTGATAAGGGTTGCAACTAAAAGGAAGGTAGATCTCCAGGAACAGGGTTGGCCACCCCTGCTGTAGACACTATAGAGAAGTGAAGCTGGACACTGTTATGATGATGATGATGATGATGATGATGGAAGTGTATCTACATGTGCATTATTCGTGAATCCTCTGATCAGCAGGGTTTTGAGTCTTATATTACTGCAGACCTATTCTTCCCCTTATTACAAGCTGTAAACTGCGTCTCTGCTGTGTCTAGTGTGTGTGTGTTTTAGCTGAGAACAGCACACAGATGATGTTCTCCAGCTCTCTGAAACTGACCCTTTCAGGACTTTTTGTGGTGTTTTGGTGACTGTCGCTTTAAATGCAAATGAGATTGTTTTTTTTAAGAAGAGGGCGGAGCTACAGACGGCATAGTGTCATATGTAAAACAGCAGTGTGTGTGTTGTGAGTGCTGGTCAGGTGTGCATGTGTGCTTCAGTGTGTGTGTGTGTGTGCGCTTGATGCTTCTGTCTTTGTTCATCTAGAACTGCACATCTATAATCCTCTTAGTCTATGCTGACATCATCTTCTGCAGCTCAAACACTCTAATGGCTAATGGACAGACGGCTGCTTCTCACTCAGGGCTGCTGTTTATGCTAATGAGATGGAGAGATGGGCACTAGTGGGCGGGGCTTTCTCCCTTTGAAGACACGTACAAAGGGAGAATGTCAATCAAAGTGTTTCATTCATCAAGTCTGATTATAATAAACACAATTAACTCATGTTCATCATTAGAGGCTGCTGGAGATACACACACACTCACACACACCCCTTATTAAAGTAATTTCTGCATGACAAGTACCCTTTAAATCAAAGTCATTATTAAGTAGAGTGATCTGACACAGAAGCGAGGAGGTGTTCAGTGATGATCTGTAGTGTGTTTTGTGCGTTGGCTTCAGTAAAGTCAGATCTATCTTGAGCTCCACAAACGCCTCCTCCTCGCCCTCCCGCACACACACACACACACGCTGACGGTGATGCTTTGGCATTCTCTGTGTATCAGCCCGCGCTCCTCCTTTCTCACCAGATCTGACAGTGTTCACAGAGCAGACGACACGACACCCTCATGACACTGATACACACACACACACACACACACACACAAGCAGATCACGCCTGGATTCACAAAACGTGATCATAGCTTGAAAGAAGTATTTAACACATTTAGGATTTCCTCCTGAGTTTCCATTTAAGAGGAAATCCTAAACAGGGAAAATGTTTAGTCGAATATTACCCCAGAAGATCAAGCCCTGCATTATTTACATCAATGAAGCACTGATAGAGTGTGTTAAGTGCATATTTGCCGGTGTTGTGACCGATTAGCTGTGTTTCTTCAGTTGTTTGTGTTGTGACAGATTTGCAACACATGTGCTGTCAAACTGATGAGGATTGTTTCTTTATTTGCTGGGTTTTTTTGTAACTGCATGTGCTTTCTTAAATTGCAGCGTGTGCAGCTCTCTCGGCCACCGTAAGAACCTGGGGGAAACCCACGCGAGCACGGGGGGAACGAGTAAACTCTGCACAGAAATGTCAGCTGGTTTAGTAAGGACTACATTCTTGCTGTGAGGCAACAGTGCTAACCACTGGGCCACCGTGTCACCCATCTGGAAATGAGGGGGAGTATGGGTGGTATGGAGGGATTCTTCAAGATGAAGATACTGAGGTAAGAAACCTCTGGTTATTTATAGCAAGTTAGGAACTGATTGGTGAATCAATTGTGGGCTGATGCAGGACCGGCTGTGATCAATCATAAGCACAGGATCCTCTCGAAATTAGTTTATAAATAAACGTCACTTAAAAATGTAATTAATTCATTCATTTTCTTGTCGGCTTAGTCCATTTATTAATCCGGGGTCGCCACAGCGGAATGAACCGCCAACTTATCCAGCAAGTTTTACATAGCGGATGCCCTTCCAGCTGCAACCCATCTCTGGTAAACATCCACACACAAACACTCATACACTAAGGACAATGTAGCCTACCTAGCTGTACCGCATGTCTTTGGACTGTGAGGGAAACCGGAGCACCCGGAGGAAACCCACGCTAACACAGAGAGAACATGCAAACTCCACACAGAAACGCCAACTGAGCCGAGGATCGAACCAGTGACCCATCAACCTTCTTGCTGTGAGGCAACAGCACTACCACTGCTTTGCCCCGTCACATAAAAATGTATTTGTTTTTTTTTTTTCTAAGAAAATACATTAAATTTGGATGAACATTGGATGAAAATTCATTAAAACTATACATGATTATTTAAAAAATAATAATAATTTGATGTCTGAAACATTAAAAGCAAAGCACATACTTAGGGTAGGGAATCTATGGCTCTTGAGCCACACATGACTCTGACCAAAAATCTGTGGCTCTCCAGCTGTCTTCCTTTAATATTATATTATCATTTAAAAAACTATAACCATCACTAAAAATCTGTTGCCTATCGAAAACACAATTACAATCCCCTTTTAAATTGTATACAGCACAATGAATAAGAGCTAGGACGTTTGGACCAATGTACGTTTATGGCCACATGGATAAACCTGAATTGTGACCAATAAAGGTTAAACAACCTACATTTCTATAGAAACTTAAATATAAACAACATTCATGAGTGGTGATGAAAATAAAAATACTGTAAATTATTCTTTCTTCATTCGTGGACTTGCTTAACATGTGATGCTTCATGTTTGTTTATTTTTGAGATGAGCATGGACATAAATTAAGGTTTTGTTTAAACCTGTATTATGTATAGTAATATTACAAATAATAATATAGTATTAGTAGTAATACTATAATATTTTATTAGTAATTTATTGTAATAGAGTAGCAAATGCATTTTTAAAAAGGCATTTTGTGAATTATATATATATATATATATACTGTATATACACACACACACATCCAAATAGCTCTTTACAAACATGCATTTGCTAAAAAAAATCTGAAATGGCTCTTTACTGAAAAAAGGTTCCTGATTCCTGGTATAAAATAAGTAAAAGCAAATAATTAATGTAAATAATGCATTTTTTATATCTCCGTCCACATATGTAATGTAGCTTGACCCTGAAAAACATTTTGAAGTCATGCACTTTAAAACTACTATTGAAAATGGCAACGTTTGTTTTATTTTTAATCTGTATTTAAATATGGCAGGGGCGACACAGCGGCTCAATGGTTAGCACTGTGTCCTCACAGTAAGAAGGTCACTGGTTCGAGTCCCGGCTGGGTCAGTTGGTGTTTCTGTGTGGAGTTTGCATATTCTCCCCGTGTTGGCATGGAGGTGCTCCGGTTTCCCCCCCAGTCCAAACACATGCGCTATAAGGGAACTGATCAACTAAACTGGCCGTAGTGTATGAGTGTGTGTGTGTGTGTATGAATGAGTGTGTATGGGTGTTTCCCAGAACTAGGTTGCAGCTGGAAGAGCATCCGCTGTGTGAAACATTTGCTGGAATAGTTGGAGGTTCATTCCACTGTGGTGACCCAAGATGAATAAATGATGAACTCAACTTCCTGTAGTGTATGAGTGTGTCAATGAGTGTGAATTGATCAACTAAACTGGCTGTAGTGTACACTGAAAAAATCATGTCTGCATAACTGTTCATATGGGTTGAATTTAAACAAATCAAATGTAGTAATGTTCAACTTAATTTGTTTGTTTAAATACAGCCCAAATACATTGTTTGCATGCACTTACCCTGAACAAATTTAGGAAATCCAAGGTATCATCTTTGAATCATCTTTTTCAGTGTATGAGTATGTGTATGGGTGTTTCCCAGAACTGTGTTTCAGCTGAAAGGGCATCCGCTGTGTAAAACATATGATGGATAAGTTGGTGGTTCATCCCGCTGGTGAATAAAGGAATTAAACCAAAGGAAAATGAATATATGATAAACATGGCAGCACAATATTGCAATATTTCTATGAATAAATCCCTAACAGAGACCCCTCCCCATCAACCAATCACCTTTGTGCATAGCATGATGACATCACCCATAGCAGCAAGCTCAGCCCCGCCCTCATGCTCAGCTTCAGGTTTCTCTGTAAACTCATCTCAGCAGCATTATGAGCAGCTTTGAACAGAAAGCTGAAATCCTTTACTGCTATTCAGAACTCTTAGATCTAACATACAAGGTTCTGTGAATATGGGCCCTGAAGTCATTTCCCACACCCATAAACTATGCTGTCAGACCTGTAGCTCGTCCACAGAAACACGTCTTGTAGATTTGATTAGAACACTGCAGGGAAGGTTATGTAGACGCCAATATTTCAACATTTTCTGTTGCTGCTTCTCAGAACTGACTTCTAATATGAACCAGAGGCAGATTTTAATTGCTGTGTTCATGTTGAGAATAACACGCCAGCACTCATATTATGACTGCACTGTAGAAGCTGGATGCAGGACTAGACATGCAGAAGACAGACAGAAAGTCAGAGTCTGGGTTTAGGCTTGTGCAGGGGTTTGGTAAAAAGCTGTAGTTCACTCGCAATTTACTCGAACATGCAAACTCCACACAGAAATACCAACTGACCTGATGTAAACATGATGTATGCTACTATGCTCTCTCCCCTGCTGAAAAATCCAGCTTAAACCAGCCAAGGCTGGTTGGCTGGTTTTAGCTGGTCGACCAGGCTGGTTTTAGAGGGGTTTTGGCCACTTCCAGGCTGGTTTCCAGCCATTTCCAGCCTGGTCTTAGCTGGTCAGGCTGGGAGATGACCAGCTAAAATCAGCTTGACCAGCCTAGCCAGGCTGAGAGCCCAGCCAAAACCAGCTATGTCCAGCTTAAACCAGGCTGGTCAAGCTGGTTTTAGCTGGTTTTAGCTGGTCATTTTCCAGGCTGACCAGCTAAGACCAGGCTGGAAATGGCTGGAAACCAGCCTGGAAATGGCCAAAACCCCTCTAAAACCAGCCTGGTCGACCAGCTAAAACCAGCCAACCAGCCTAGGCTGGTTTAAGCTGGATTTTTCAGCAGGGTCCTTCAACAACTTTTGATGTTTTAAAGGTTGAAAAAGTGGCATGTTACATGTTTAATAGATTAAAGTGATATATTGTCGGTATTAGTGGGGGAATTACAGTTCACTAACCTGCTTATAAACTGGCAGTACTTTAATTCTACTCTATATGTATATTACTGTTTATACAATGTCATATAAACGGCGGCGTATTGTAGTATAATATACCCTATAGCTGTAGAAATCCACAGTACTCCGTTGTTGGTATATATTATTGTAATCGTGTCACTTACTATAGCAACTACTGAATCACCAAAGCAGATTAATTACGTCGTTGTTTTACCATAGCAACTGTAGCATCACCACAACAATTAGTTACTATTTGTTTTGTTACCATAGCAACTATAGAATCACCACAACAGATTACTGTAGTTGTTACCATAGCAACTATATCATTATGTAAGATTTATTACTTGTTGTTATTACCATAGCAACAATAGAATCACTGTGACAGATTAATTAGTATAGCTGTATCACCATAGCAACCATGGAATTTCCGCAACAGATTAATTACAAGTTGTGTTAATATAGCAACTATACAATCACCACAAGGGATTACTTACTGTAGTTGTTACCATAGTAAATATAAAATTACAGCATTAATTACTAGCTGTTGTTACCATAGCAACTATAGAATCACAAGGGATTAATTACTGTAGTTGTTACCATAGTTACTACAGAATCACAACACAGAGATAAATTACTGTAGCTGTTACCATAGTAACTATATAATTACAACATTACTAGCTGTTGTGTTACCATAGCAACTATAGAATCACAAGGGATTAATTACTGTAGCTGTTACCATAGTAACTATATAATTACAACATTACTAGCTGTTGTGTTACCATAGCAACTAAAGAATCACCACAAGATATTACTGTAGTTGTTACCATAGTAACTATAAAATTACCACAGCATCAATTACCAGTTGTATTACCATAGCAACTATGGAATCCCCACAACAGATCAATCACTGTAGTTGTTACCATAGTAACTATATAATCACCACAACATTATTTATGAGTTGTGTTACTGTAGCAACTATAGAATCACCCCAACATTAATTACTGGCTGTTGTTACCCTAGCAACTATAGAATCACAACATATTAAGTATATTCCTTGACAATAGAATGGTCCAACGCTGTAAAATTGCACTATATTTATAGATCTTCAGTATTTTTTCCTGTGGGTGTATGCACAACTTTTTAAAATATATTTTATGCAGATGCACTGCTCTATAAAATCACACCAATCAATCAAAAATAATGAATTATTTCCAGAGATAGCCATTCGAATGATCTGATGAAATTATACTGATTTGGAAATATATAGAGATCACAGAAAAACTAAATAATTGAATCTCAAGATTGTGCAGCCCTAGTGACTCCATACTTTTTTTTGTCCAATTAAATTGCCAAAACTTCATTTGAGCAACAGAACTCAGTCGTCATTGCTTTAAATTGAGGACTGAATACCCTGTGTAATACCCAGAGATCAAGGCTTCATGTAAGATTGGTCCCCATATGACTGATTCATAAACTTCAATCAGATTTTTTTGTAGAGAAGATTTTAGCCATTTAATAGGAAATGCAGATCTCCCACCAGAAAACAGTCTGTAATTGTTGTTTTTCAAAAGAGTCCAGTGTGATTCAGACGAGCATGCAGATAAAAGCACATTCATTTACTGATATTATAGCAAATTACAGCAGAACGCTGCCGCTGGATCAATGCTCTTTTAAAGGACTCAAATTAAGTGCAGTCGGAGTCTAAACAGCGTTCTGAATAGAGGCTTCACTCAGGGATAATTTCACTCAGAACTGAACCCAGATGACCCTCAGAATATCCCAGATCACCTGACTCAACTAGAACACGCATTGGCCCGCAGTCGCCTCAGCATCCCGCCGAGATCAGACGGTTGCTAAGAAACATTACCACGTCATGCTGGGTCAAATAAAATCATCTTCCAGGTAATGGTACCAAATGCTCACCTTACCTGCAGATTAAAACACTGGAATAAAGCTCTGATGGACTTGACATGATTGATCATTTAAATGATCATGCTAGATCTATAATAATGATGATGATTCTCAGCATTAAAACAACACTATGCTGCTGACCTTCTCAGTGTAAGAGCAGCCGTTATTTCAGCTGCCAGTGGTTCTGCGTGAACAAGAGTGCAAATAAAGCTCTGCTGTAATTGTGCATCATCAGGGCAGCAGAGCAAACTCATGCATATTGGAAGAAACGCCTCAGACTGTTTGTTTAGTCACCAATTAATCTGCCACTTGCAGAAATATGGCTGATGCCAAAACAATATTTAGCCTAGTGTTTGTTTATTGTGGTAAAAATCACACTTCTGCTGTTAAAGCATTTACATAACTCTGTCATGTTCGCTTTGTGCGAGTTCATTGTTCACTGCAATATGGTTTTTTCTGCATGGTTCTACTTTTATTCTCTTCTTTTGGTGAACCGAGCGGCTTTTATAGAACAGAAATAGTGGCTGTTTTTATTCTAGCATTCTTCAGTAAATATCTTGGTGTTCAACAGAATTAGGAAACTATCAGGTTTGTAAACAAACCAGAATTTTTCGTTTGTGCATGCACAGCCCCTTTAAGACTGAATGCGAGAGCAGACATCTGCTGATTTACATGCAATCTGGAGAATTGAGATGCAAAACAGAAACTTGCCAAAAGCAAGAGAATATTGGATCTTAAGAAATGAGCAATACCCCAGATAACTGCGATTGAAGTGATTTATTTGTACAGTAAGGAAGCAGACTGCGCAGCGCCTTAATTCAGATGAAGGCAAGAATACGAGGCGTTTGTGCTCAGGACAGAAACCTCAAACACTCTTTCACTGTGCGGAGAGGAAGCGGAGAGGACTCGAACCAAAGACAAAAGAAAGCAGATCCCAGCTGATCCGAAAACCGCTAAAATGAGAAGCATATTAAAGGACAACAGAAATCAAATCAAATAAAACCGAAGGGATTCCCGAGATTAGGGGTCTTCAGAAAGGCATACGGTGTCACTGAGATCCCAACAGAATGCCTGAACGACGACCCACACACACACACAATACATGTACAACATGAGAGTCAGACACCAGGGCAACCCCTTCAGAAGGTCTTTACAAAACGTGCATCTATACAACGGTGATGGTTAAAACTTAAATATGTTTCCCGCCTGCTTCCCCATGCGGCGATGCCATCATTCAGTCAAATTAAGATGTATAAAACGTTAACAAAAATAGCATATAGAAAAAAGGTTTTACAAAAGGACAGGAGATGGTCATGACTGCGTTCAGAGTGTTTGGGGCGACAGAAGATCTTTATAGACAGGTCTGTGTGGACGCAGTTTTGCCGAGCGGAGGACAGTGAAAGCCTCGTGTGCCGTCCGGTCCTCTCGGAAGCCGCACCACACCCGGAGGAAGCCCGTCTGCGTTCTGGATCTTCCGGGCTAGCATTGGGCTTCCCACCGGGCTGCTCTCCTGACTAGCGACCTGCTTGCGCCTCTGGACCCAAGGGCTTCCCGACGGGGTCAGGCTACTGTCTGAGGAATAGTCTGCCCAACGGCGTCCTGGCTCAGGACTCAAGCGACCCTCGCTAGCCAGCGGAGACTTCCCCGATGGATGTGTTTTGCGCTGGGTGCATGGACTAGCGCGTGGGCTGCTCCACGGACTGGACCTAGGTGAAACCACCGGGCTGAGATGGTTCGGGCCTGCACTTGTCGGACTGAGCTTGTTGCATGAGCGTGACTTTCGAGCTAATCGTGGAGATGTCGGATTGCTTTCGGTTTCTGATGAACTTGCGGCTGAGTCGTCTCCGTGATACTGCAACTCTCGTACGCGGCTATTCAGGGAGCGACTCTTACGCATGCCGCCGATTCCTTCATCTCTCGGCCGATCTTTAGGAACTTTTTTCTTCGGTGGCTTGGTGCCGATTAGCACCACTTTCAATCCTAGCGGTCCTCGATTTCCTCCCTCTCCGCCGACCGCCTCATGGGCTTTCATTGCTGCTTCTACTTCTTCGAACTCTACAATTGCGCATTCTTCTGTGCCTAGCTGCGAGTAGCGCCCGCTGAGTTTCTTCAGATCGGCTGGTAAATCCTTCCCTGGTTTGAGAACTCGCACGGAGGCGATCGGGCCGTAGTTTCCAAAGGCCTTCAGAAGCAGCTCCATGAGGCGCTCCTGCTGGGTCGGACCACTTCCGTTGTTGGAATCTCCGCCGAGGGCGATGCCCAGCTCCGGCCAGCGCTTCAGTTCGCTCAGTAGAAGCATGCGGCTCGGCAGAGATTCACTGGCGAAAACTGGCACGGTCGACCTGCGGCGCACCTTCCGGCCCTCATCGTTCAGCTCCAGCAGGTTGGAGTGGCGTAAGGCATACGCCGTGGTTCTCCAGTCCCGCGTCAAGTGCTTGACCTGAGGGAGAAAGAGACGGGATGCAGAGGTGTGACCATTAATTGACTATTTTTGGCACTTAATGCAAAAACAAATAGTAAAAACTGTGAAAGCTTTTCAGCTTCAGGTCAGGGTGTGCATGTCTCATATGGGCCATACCACGCTGCTTGTGTCTTGTGTTGTTGACTCTAATGGCAATACACTGCCGGCAGTAAACGCACACCTTAACCTGATTCAGAGGATGTTGGCAAACAAACTCATTTTATAGTGCACAAGTGTTGGTGCTTTGTATGGTTAGGATTGGTCCACTGAAGTCACATGGAATGATTTGTCGGTACTGTACTTTTCTAGTCATTGCTTCTCTTTTGAATCAGCTGAGCTTGTGGACAGTAGAGGGCGCTCTAGGCGAGTACTTGACAGCAGACAGCACTCTAGGCTAGTTTGTTACTGGCAACAGGAGACGCTCTAGGCTAGTTTTTAACTGCAGGTGACCCTCTGGGGTATTTTTTCACAGCAGGTGACCCTCTAGGCTAGTTTTTGACATTAGACAGCGCTCTAGGCAAGTTTTTGAATAGTAGATGGCGACCTAGTTGAGTATTTGGCCGCAGGTGGCGCTCTAGGCTAGTTTTAGGCAGCAAGCCGCACTCTAGGCTAGTTTTTGTATAGTAGATGGTGCTCTAGGCTAGTTTTACAACAGATGGCGCTTTGGTTTAGTTTTTGGTAGGAGGCAGAGGTCTAGGCTAGTTTTTGGCAGCAAGCCACGCTATAGGTTATTTTTTGTATAGTAGATGATACTCTAGGCTAGTTTTACGGCATATAGCACTCTGGTTTTAATTTTGGAAGCAGACAACACTAGGCTAGAATTTGACAGCAGGCAGTGCTTTAGGCTAGTTTGATGGCAAACCGCGCTCTAGGCTAGTTTTTGACAGCAGGCGGCGCTCTAGGCTAGAATTTGACAGCAGGCGGTGCTCTAGGCTAGTTTGACGACAAACAGCACTCTAGGCTTGTTTTTGACAGCAGGCGTTACTCTGGGCTAGTTGGATGGCAAACAGCACTCTAGGCTAGTTTTTGTCAGCAGTCGGTGCTCTAGGCTAGAATTTGACAGCAGGCGGCGCTCTAGGCTAGAATTTGACAGCAGGCGGCGCTCTAGGCTAGTTTGACGGCAAACTGCACTCTAAGCTAGTTTTTGACAGCAGGTGACGCTCTAGGCTAGAATTTGACAGCAGGCGGTGCTCTAGGCTAGTATGACGGCAAACAGCACTCTAGGCTTGTTTTTGACAGCAGGCGGCACTCTAGGCTAGAAATTGACAGCAGGCAGTGCTCTAGGCTAGAATTTGACAGCAGGCGGCGCTCTAGGCTAGAATTTGACAGCAGACGGTGCTCTAGGCTAGAATTTGATAGCAGATGGTGCTCTAGGCTAGAACTTGACAGCAGGCAGCGCTCTAGGCTAGAACTTGACAGCAGGCGGCGCTCTAGGCTAGAACTTGACAGCAGGCGGTGCTCTTTGCTAGAGTTTGTCAGCAGGTGGTGCTCTAGGCTAGAACTTGACAGCAGGCGGTGCTCTAGACTAGATTTTAACAGCAGGCTGCCCTCTAGGCTAGTCTGACAGCAGATGGTGCTCTAGGCTAGTGTTAATCACACTTCAATTCTCAAAAGAAAGAGCAATTGCCCTCAGCAGTCTTATTTAAGTTATTAGTCACAAAAAAAAATCACACTAATTAAAACTCATATTTAACTTAACCCCTTCCTAACTGAATTGATTATTTTAGGTTTAAGTATTTATAAAGACGCAGCATCACAATCATTGACCACCATAAAAACTGTAATCAGTTATATTAGTCAACTACGAAGAAAATTTTGGCCAAATGCATGCTAATTGTATGTTTAATCGAGTCTAATCCTCAAATGGTTATTAATTTGATATGCACGACTTTAACTTGAAGATGATCTTCCAGCCACCATAATCAAGGTTTATCCCTCACAAACTCAAACACCAAATTCATTTATGAGTTTCTCAGTAGTAAATACAATTGGAGAGCCAGTTCCAGCAGAGTTTCCCAGTTGGAAATTGGAGAATAATTGTGATGGCACATGAAGGCAGCATTTATAACCCTGGAAACAAGTCAATCATGTGTGAAAAGGGTCCATTCATCAACACACGCCAGTCATTAGTGGCTTTTTTAGTGTCGACATCACAGAAGAAAGTCATTTTGTGTTGCTCCACATTAAAGTGCAGATTTAATTGAGGCTGATAAAGCACAGGAAAAAGCAGTGAAAACCAAATTAGCATCAGACTCCAAAAATGAGCATCACATTTAGTTAAAAATCGAATAATGATTACAGAGTTGGAAGTTAATTTAGTTGCACATGGCACTTTAAAGGCTGCATGAACCAGAAGCTGCTGCAGACTTTATATTTATTATTATTAGTACTATTGTTGTTATAAATCTCACACACCTTATATCAAAAACTTCTACATTAGATGCTATTAATTTTTGCCCAGTATTAATTATTATTATTATTATTATTATTACAAAAATACAGCAGCTCAATCAGACAACCATAAAAAGAAAGAAACTTTTCAGAAATGTATTTCCAACTAAACTGGAACATGGTTTATTTTAAAGCTTTTCACGTTTTTCACTTGCAGCAAATTAATGGTTGAAGGGGTGTGGTTTAGTATCTAATTTCGCTCCGAGTCAGAGAACTGTCAGATTTTAATGAAAGATTACCAAAACACTGAAAAATATTCTCTATTATAATTAAAAAATATTATTCTTATTAACCATTGTTATTTGACAACCATAAAAAGAAAGATTTATTTGATTTAATTCCAAGTAAATATGGAATATTGAGTAGGGGGCGTGGTTTGAGCTCATCTTTCTCTTGTAGCAAACTAATGGATGAAGGGGCATGGCTAAACAACTAATTTCGCCCAATCAGAGTCCGAATTTGGTTAGATTGATTTAAAATTTCCAAAAACATAAGCAAAAAAAATCTCTGTATTAGATGTATTATAAATTTAATAGTATTATTATTATTATTATTATTAACTATTTATTTTAACTTTATTAACAAGATTGTCAAAGCAAGCAAAAGAAAGTCAGTGTTATATTAATTATAGTATAATTGTTATTAATATTATCATCAACTTTATTTTTGACAATCATAGAAAGACTTTTCAGAATGATGCATTTCCAACTAACATAAATACTGAACAGGGGGCGGGGTTTATTTGAGCTCATCTTTCTCTTGTAGCAAACTAATGGTTAAAGGGGAGTGTCTTATCAGCTCATTTCACCCAATCAGGGCATTTGGTACAATTTTAATAAAAGATGCCATAAACAACAAAAAAAAAAAAAACTCAATTTTATAATAATCATATTATAAATGTAATTATTATTAACTATTTATTATTAGCTCTAATATTATTGACACCCATAAAAAGACTTTTCAGAATGATGCATTTCCAAGTAAAATGTATACTGAGTAGGGGAAGGGGTTTAACTAACTTTAAATGGTTAAAGGAGTGTGCCTAAAAACCAAATTGTCCAACCAGAATTGGGTCAGATTTTGATTAAAGATTACCAAAAACAAAACAATTCTCAATATTGTAGTAAGTATATTATAATTGTTAGTTATTATTATTATTACTACTGTTATTATATTAACGATTTTTGACTACCAGGAAAAGACAGTTCAGAATGTAGTTCCAACTAAAATGGAATATTAAATAGGGGGAGTGGTTTATTTCAAACCCCCCCTCCTTTTACTTGCTGTAAAACAAATGGTTAAAAGGGCGTGGCTAAATATCACTTTGCCCAATTAGAGTCAGAATTTGGTCAGACTGATTTAAAGATTACCAAAACAAACGATAATCAGTCATTTAACTTGTGCACAGATTTGTTGTTCATCTGAAGACTTGCAATGTGTGCGAGTAAAATCAATATAAACCTGTTGATTTCCTGCAGACTTTAAATGACCGAATGTATTGTGCAAGGCATATTTCTGACATCATTTCCCACTGAAACGGGAAGCTTTGAGAGGAACATGATGAAATGTCTGTTCCCTTTTTAAAAGGCAACTCCAGTCTGTTAAAACCTAAAAAAAAACAGCCAATTTACTGTACTTTACTCAGGCTGTCATGACAGAAGTATTGTTCTCCCTCATTTTCTTCATGGGCGTTTCAAAACGAGCTCTGAGTCACGAATCAAAGCAGCCCGCTCACACTGAAGGTGAATCACAAACTTACATTAGAAAGGAGAATTGGAAATAGAAAAATCAAGCCCTTAAACCATTTCAGGAGAGATTTATTTAATCGCTACACAAAGACTGCACAATATACCATTTCAGCATCGGCATCACAGTGTGACCTGATCAAACCACAGCTTGAAACTCTGCCATTTGTAGATTTACTGCACAGTTTACCTATTATGGAGTTTAACTTTAATATTAATTGCATTTTGGGGCAGCATGGTGTCTTAGTGGTTAGCACTGTGACAGCAACAGCAAGAAGGTCTCTGGTTTGAGTCCCAGTTGGTGTTTCTGTGTGGAGTTTGCATGTTCTCTCCGTGTTGGCGTGGGTTTCCTCCGGGTGCTCCGGTTTCTCCCACAGTCCAAACACATGCGCTATAGGGGAACTGATCAACTACACTGGCCGTAGTGTATGAGTGTGTGTGTGTGTTTGAGAATGAGTGTGTATGGGTGTTTCCCAGTGCTGGGTTGCAGCTGGAAGGGCATCCGATGTGTCAAACATATGCTGGAATAGTTGGCAGTTCATTCAGCTGTAGCGACCTCTGAATTAAAGACTAAGCCGATGGAAAATGAATGAATGAATTGCATTTCAGTTTCATACTGTAGACTGGGAAGTGTTGTTACACTAAATATTGCAATGTTATTTTTAAAGTCCTGTCCTACACAATTACACAACAGGACTAAAATAAATATACTGGTTTTAACACCTCACTAGCTTTATTATCATTATTAATTTGGTTTATTATATTTATCGCTTTATGATTACAGAAGTAGGAGGGAGTGTGTGTGTGTGTTTTGGGGGGGGGGGGTCATAAAGGTGCATTGAGTATGGATCTTAAAGGGACAGTTCACCCAAAAATTAAAATTCTCATCATTTACTCGCTTAAATGGGTGCAAACTTTGGATTTTCTTCTCCTGTTACACACACACACACAAGATATTTTGAAGAATGCTGGGGACAAGAAAAATATAATAAAAAAACAAATCTGCCATAGACATTTACACTATAAAAATTAAATATTTAATTAGTCACGATAGCATGTTTTTAGGTCATTGTCACGTATTAAAGTTAATCATGTTCCAACTTAATTTTATACATTTTATTTTAAATCAGATTAACATAAGTTCAATGGACTCATAGGTTTAATTTAATTTAGTGTAATTTAAGGCAACCAAGTTTTTTTTTTTTTTTTTTTTTACAGTGTATAATAGGAAAAAAATCCTATGGGAGACAATGGTTAGCAGTTTTTCAACATTCAAAACATTCAAACAGGTTTGGAACAAAAGTAAATGGTGACCGTTTACACCCTTCAAAAGCTTGGTCAAATCTTTGTTAAATTTTGCAAATAATACCATAACAAGGTTGTTTAAATTGTGATCAAATGTGGTGTTAAAGACATGCATTGTGTCATAACAGATTTCCATGTCATTACTGTTCTGAAAAATACACTTTTATTCATATAAAATCATGTTTCTTGATCAAAGCAGCATTTCATACAGAACATTTCTATATTCATATTAGAGCTGCACAGTGTATGGTTTTAGCATTGATATGGCAATGTGTGCATCCGCAATAGTCACTCCACAAAGATCTGCAATGTTGAATTGGGATTATTTCTGACCAGGAGCCACAGTCAAGAACATGGTCAGGCCAGAGTCAATGGGGATTTTTACCATAATGGAGCAAATGTTTATCATTTACACGTTGTATGAGATGTTCAAAGCATTCAGGCACTACGAACTGTACAGTATAAAACTGATGATTATTTTATTGAATTATTTATATAATGAAGATGCCATGTAGTGCTAACATTTGATGATTCAATATCTGCATCTCAATTCTTACCAAAGAGCGACTCAAGTCATCTGGTGAAATTATATTCATATCTCACAGCAAAACAAAAACAATCTGATTTGACTGTCTGATTTTTTTCTTAATATCGTGCAGCCCTAATTCACATAGAAAACTGCTGTAAAATAACAGAGATTTGACTGTTTTTGCTGTACTTTGGTTGAATTAAATGCAGGTTTGCTGAGCAAAAGAAAAAAAAACTATTGATTTGATTTTGTAAATGGCTAAATAATTAATATATTGTTTAAAAAAAAAACAATTATGCTTTAAATTGATCAAAAATAAATATAAAATGTCAATTCTATTTTAAAGAGCTTAAAAACAGCTGTAATGCATAATAATTTCACAGTTTTAGCTGTATTTGGCGAGCAAAATAAAGAAAATCTAACACTGATCAATATACACATCATTCGTAGGCCTGTCACGATATCCATTTTTGCTGTATGATATATATTCCACCAAAATATATTGCGATGAACGATATTATTGTCATTTCAAGACCATTTTACTCCACTCATCATTATATAATGGCAGAATGACAATATCACAATGCAGGAACACTTCCAAACAACGCATGATACTGTATTCTTAAGAATATTTCAGTTATAGTCATTTTAACACTTTAGGCACTGGAGTCAGAATGTGAAAACAAACCCTAAATAAATAATAAATGTTAACACAAAAGTGCAACGTAAAGAGTAACAGAGGCTGCTGCCAGATCTATTTCCAGCTGTCAGACACCCACATGAGAATATCCTACAGTAATGTATAGTAAATACTCCAGTGTTTCACCATACTGACTCTGACCGCTCCAGTAGAGATAGAGATGCTGCACAACCAGCTTAAATGCTGCTAGAATTGGTTATGTATGGGCGATATGTAGTGCATCAATTAAAATGATTGAGCTCATGTCCTCGTGTTGTGCCAATCAGAGTGATAAGTCCAGATATTGGTGATTGTGACAGGTCTAATCATTTCTATATAATGTGATTGAGTACATAAATTAAATTAACAGTTTATAAGTTTGATTTGGCACTTGAAAAACAGCCGTTAATTTGCCTTCATATTTAGAAATATTATGTAAACCGTGACAGATTCAGGCGGATTACAACTCAAAGTACAACTTGTGAAACAGAAGCAACATGTTGCACAAACAGAAGCAGTTTAAGACTCGATTTGCACCAGCAGACGGCTCTGGGATCTGTGTGTGTGTGTGTGTGTGTGTGTGTGTGATCTGCATTGGTGTATTCAGACTCATGTGATTACATCATTTGCAATGCATCATGGTATTGAGCGGTCACTGCTCTTAACGCTTCTGCCAAGGTTTCCATAGTAACAGAGACTCCTCTGATTGGTCAATTTTAGGCGGTTTAGTTCCTCGCTGGGAATTTGGCTATTGAGGAGTTTTCATGATGATGTACATTGAAAATCAGTGGCATTTGTTTTGTTTTGTTTTTTTAAATTCTGGAAGCAGATTTCTGCTCATTTAGGATGTTGTTTTTGAATTAATCACTTTTATTTTAATATTTGAGCTACAGATTTCTCTTCATACATTAGATTTTGTCGTTTTTATCTTTTTTGGAGACAAAAATAATCAATTTTTGGCATTTTTTTTCTTAAGGCTGAACTCATCGAGTGTAAAAATGATCATTTTTTTATTTTATCAGTTCTGAGCAGGAAATATTATTATTTTATTAGCTGATATACTAAAACTCAGATTAAGATCACAGTTTGACCCCAAAAATACTGAATTATGGGATGTTGATCTCTGCTCGGTCCACTTCTGATGATGAAAATTCAACTCTACAGTTTAACAAAGAGACTTTTAGTGACATTTTAGTCGTTTGAGAAAATATTAGAGATAATATCTAGAGGAATAAGAGTGTAGAATAACAGAACATGTGCTGCGGTTTATTATAGGTGTTTGTAGCGTAATATACAACACAGACACACACAATACAGCACTGGAGACTATTACACATGTGCAGAAAACACACTTAAGGTTAAAAGTAGTTGGAAGAGCAATCAACATCCCATAATGCAACTCTTCAATAAACGAGGGAAAATAAGAACGTGAAGCTCAATATGTGGAAACTGCTCATGTGTGGATGTTTTGCAGGGGGGGTGTTGGTCTTACCTTCTTGAAGGACGTGAGCAGTTTGACACTGACGAAGCCCAGTTTGTTCCTGCGCACGTGTTTCAGCAGGAAGGCGTCGTGCTCCAGGTTTTCATCCGACAGGTAATATTCGATCTGCGCCACCAGCTTCTGGATGAGCTCTGGGTCTGGAGGCTGCCAGCTCTCCTCCTCCAGCTCGCCACCGCTGGTGCCCGCGCCACTGACACACACACACATGCCAATTTAATACAGTATATCCAACTCAACATACCATGATAATGAACATGCACAATATCGTTTGCACTTCGACATGCTAAGAATATTCATGACTCAGATTGTCGATATCGTGACAATACTGTAAACCTTGATGAAAAAACGGCAGCAGTTCAAATCGCAACAAGAACATTTGATACTAGAAGGCTAACACACACACAGACACTTTTGTGTGCACACAAACAAACACTCATACACACACACACACAATTAGACACTAGTGCGCACACACTCGGACCGTCATGCACACATGCGTATACACTCACTCATTCGTGCGCGCGCACACACACACACTTGAGCACACCCAGACACCCGTGCGCTTGCACACATGCACTCAAGACACTAGTGTATGCATACACGTGCATGTGTGTGCGCACATACACACACTTAAGACACCTGTGCATACACACACACACACACACACACACACACACACACACAATTAGACACTAGTGCGCACACACTCGGACCCTCATGCACACATCGAATATACTCACACTCATTCGCACGCACGCGCGCACACACACACAAACTTGTGCACACTCAGAAACCCGTGCGCTTGCAAACATGCACTCAGACACTAGTGCTCACATACACACACTTAAGACACCTGTGTGCACACACACACACACACACAAACACGCGTGTTAATACCTAGACACAAGTACGCACACATACACTCGTGACCACACACAAACTCAAACACCCATGTCTGTGCGCACACACACACACACACACACACACACACACTCAGACACTAGTGCTCATACAAACCTGCAAACAAACTCAGACACTTGTGTGTGCTAGGCATGGGCCAGTATAATTTTGTCATGGTTATGATACCCTTGGATAAAAATATGACGGTTTGACAGTAGTGTAATTACTGCTCTGAAATCTATTCTCTTCAAGTGTCTGGGTAAGACGCTTTTTTCCCTTTTGAACACAGTGTATATTATTTTGAGACCCATTTAAAATATTTGGGAGCAGTTAACAGCTCAGGCTGAATGAATTATTGAATTTTGTTGTCTTCATTTGTTTCAGGACTGAAGGCAAAGCGAATATAGATTCAAATGTCCTCATGTTAATCTGGAAGATTGAGACTGTTTACAGGCCTGTACTCTGCACAGTAAAGCTCCTTTAGTTAACATCAGCTCATTTCACTCAGTCAGTGTAAGGACAAATACAAAACTCGATTTGAACACATCTATTAACCTCTTCTGATGTTCATTCAGTTACGAGTGCCTAATAAAGCAATGAAATAAAGTCATAACTTGTTAAATGTAATAACTAATAAATCATTAACTAATCAAATTCAATGTTTTATTGTACTTTTAGATGAATTTACTTGAATAAATACCTATAAAATGGCCATTTCTCATGGTTTACTAATGAGATCTTACTGTAAACGGTTACCTACTGAACTTTTATAATGTAATCAGTTTACACGTGTGTGTGTGTGTGTGTGTGTGTGTGTGTGTGTGTGTGTGTGTGTGTGTGTGTGTGTGTGTGTGTGTGTGTATAATAAAACAATACGCTAATATTTAGTCATGTTATTATGGCAGTTAATGTTTCTGCTGCTCAGGTCAATATGAGAACACAGTAAACCATCAGGAAAACTTCAGTGATTAAAATCGCAACAAGAACATTTGCTGCGACAAATACTTTGATACTGGCAGAAGCTTTACACACACACACACACACACACACACACACACACACAAACACGCTCAGTCACCAGGGAGTCCGTCTGTTTCCCATCATCCCCCTAATATCTCAGATTCCCCCACAATCCACCAGCCTGTGAGCTTTATCATCATCATCATCTCTGCCCCCGGACACATGGAGATCAACACACACACTTTCTACTTAAACTTTTTTTTCTACACAGCTTTTCTACTTAAGGGGACAGTTCACACACAACTCAACATTTGCTCATTTCCTCAGGTGGATTCAAACCTGTATAATAGGACAAACTCTCACATCACAATAAACATCTCATATCCTGATAACTACAGTATATATATATATATATATATATATATATATATATATATATATATATATATATATATATATATATATATATTTATATGTATATACATATAAGACATATGCCTTATATGTCTTATATTGGGTATATACAGACATGTATATACCAAAGACATATGCCTCATATTGAGATATGCAAATGCATTCCAAATGACACACTGTGCACCTATACACTAAACCGTGTGGTGTAGTTTAGTGTCGTCCCAAATTGAACACTAACATTTGCTAAATGAAAATTCAAACCGTTTCTCAGGCAACATTTAATTTAATAAAATCTAACCTTAGCAGCCAATAGCTCCTCCCCTTCAACAGTAGCCACTCCCCTTAATATATAGCTCCTCCCCTGCATCAGTAGACCCTCCCCTAAGCTACACAAGCAAAACTACGCACACTGAGTGCATGAAGTGTTCAACATTAAACATTTTTATTGGTAAAATAACTGCATCGTCCTGGTATTTAAAGTGCATTGTTTAATTTTAGAATATTCAGCGTGATGCACTTATACTGTAATACAAAATATGTATTATACTACACAAATACTATTTAAACAACAAAATGGCACAGGATAGTGCACATGTATGTGCAATTTAGTGATGCGAGTGTGTTTACAGCTCTTTTAAACTGTGAATCTGTCTGAGACACGAGCTCATTAATATTCATGACCCTTCCAAATAAGGTCAAATCAGAGCTTTCCATTCTAGGGCAGATGTTTCCAAATTAGTGAAATAAAATACCAAATAGTATCAGAGTATTGACCATAGGGAGGTGGCAATCCAAAATAAATAATCTAACCATGGCTTTCAATAGCTCCTCCTGTTCATCAGAAGCCCCTCCCATTCAGCCTTAGCCTCGACCGGGGTGGCCAACCCTGTTCCTGGAGAGCCACCTTCCTGCAGATTTCAGTTGCTACCCATATCAAACACACCTGAACCAATTAATTAGCACCTGAACACCACATGATAATTACAGGCAGGTGTGTTTGATAAGGGTTGCAACTGAAATCTGCAGGAAGGTGGCTCTCCAGGAACAGGGTTGGCCACCCCTGGCCTAGACCCTTCCAAATAAGGTCAAGTCAGAGCATTTCATTGCAGGGTCCATTGTGTTATAAATTAACTTTTTTTGCACCTACCCAAGATATCTGAGAACAATTTAAACAATCGTTGCATTCCTAATAGCACACCATGCACTTTTACACTATGTAGTGTTGTTTAGTATCATCCCAAATCGATCACTAACGTATTTTATTTTATTACTAATTTAAAATTTAAACAAATGCACTACTTGTACTATTTATGCTACAAAATGGCATAGAATAGTGCACGAGTAAGCGAATTGGCATGTGCCTAATGTCCAAGTACGTTTACGGCTCTTTAAAGCAATGAAACAGTGTCTTCAAAGACATGAGCTTATTAATATTCATGACCCTTCCAAATAAGGTCAAATTAGAGTATTTTATTTTAGAAAAAATGTAAACACTAGTTGCATCCCAAATGACAACTTATACTCAAAGCAGTGTAGTTTGTAGTCATCCTAAATTGAACACTAACATTTTTTTAGATGTTAGTGTGTTTTAAGATGTTAGTGTTCCAAATTGAACACTTTTTTTTTTACTAATTTAAACCAATGCGCTACTTGTGCTATTTACACTTCAAAATGGATTAGAATGGCGCATAGTGCGATTTGGGACACACCTAATGCCTCAGTGAATCTATGACTCCTTTAAAGCTATCAACCAGGGTATTCAGAGACATGAGCTTGTTAATATTCATGACCCTTCCAAATAAGGTCAAATAAGAGTATTTATTCATTCATTCATTTTCTTGTCAGCTTAGTCCCTTTATTAATCCGGGGTCGCCACAGCGGAATGAACCGCCAACTTATCCAGCAAGTTTTTACGCAGCGGATGCCCTTCCAGCCACAACCCATCTCTGGGAAATAAGAGTATTTCATTTTAGAAAAATTTAAACACTAGTTGCGACCCTAATGACACACTATGCACTTATACTCTATGTAGTGTTTAGTGTCATCCTGAATCAAACATCAGCGTTGTTATTTTACTAATTGAAAATTCAAACCAATGCACTACTTGTACTATATACGCTACAAAATGGCATAGAATAGTGCACGAGTAAGCGAATTGGCATGTCTAATGTCCAAGTACATTTATGGCTCTTTAAAGCAATGAATCAATGTCTTCAGAGACTTGAGCTCATCAATATTCATGACCCTTCCAAATAAGGTCAAATAAGAGCATTTCATTCAAGAAAAATGTAAACACTAGTTGCGTTTCAAATGACACTTATACCCAATGTAGTGTAATTTGGTGTCATCCTAAATTGAACACTGACATTTTTTTAGATGTCAGTGTTCGAAATGAGCTCATTAATATTCATGACCCTTCTTAAGGTCAGGGCATTAATTCTAGGGCCAATTGCTAGGGTTGTTACAGATTTTTTGCACCTACCCAAGCCATAAGCCTCCAATTGAGATAGAGAACAATTAAAACAACAGATGCATCCCAAATTACACACTATGCACCATGTAGTGTCGTCTCAAATGGAACACTAACATCTGTCAAACGGAAATTCCAACCAATTGCCAAACAACGTTTAACCGTTTCCAAATTAGTGAAACAAGATATCAAACAGTAGCTGTTACAAGTACAACTCGATTCATCATTGGGAGGTGGCATGATCACTTATGTGGGAGAATCTTTATCCATAATAAAATAATCCAACCTCAGCAGCTGATAGCCCCTCCCACTCAGCAGTAGCTCCACCCATTTCACTACATAAGCAAAACTACGGGCATTGAGTGCATGAACTGGTCAACATTACACTCTTTTTATCAGCAGAGTAAGTGCTTCATCCTGGCATTTGAAGTGCATTATAATTATTT